ATAGATGAAGCTTTACAGAACAGTACACCAGTGACAGGCACCCAGAGGTGCAAAGTATCAGCAGGAAGGCCCCTTGTTGCGGGGGCTTGCATAAATTAAAGAGTAGTCAGGATGTGGGGGGAGGGATGAGAGGATGTCAGAGCGGTCTGCAAGGGTTGGACGCTGCAGGGCTTCCTGGGCTCTGGGGAGGAGTCAGGGCTTCATCTTGCAGCGATGGACAGATGGAAGGTGTTCAACAGGGAAAAGACTTGGCTAGCTTTGCTTCCTATGAAGATCCTGTTGGCTGCTGCATGGTGGAGGGCAGGCAGGGAGACTGCTTCCGAGGCTGTTGAAATACTCCAGGGAAGGCTGGTTAGCCCAGGGAGGGAGCATCCAGTTCCAGAGCCATTTGGAAGATAGAATTGGCAGATCTCTTGCAGGGCTAAGGAAGGGGATCAGAATGATCTTCTGGTTTTTAGGTTGGGCCTTCTCCTTTCAGCCCCCCCAATTGGCAAACCCATTCAGGCTGAGCTGGCTGCCCTGAGGAAGCCTAACAGAGCTCCCAGAGCTTCCTGATGGGACAGACACTGGAATTTGATGTGACTTTGAAGGCAGATGAAAGAGCTCATTCTTGTCTGCTCCCCCCCTCTGTAAACAGCTGGGCAGGGCCTCTACTCTCCTTTCTCCCAACCTGTATGCCCAGCATCTACACAAACCTGGCACTTGGGAGGTGGTAAGTCAATATTTGTCTGAAGTGGGAAGAATGGCCCTGGCCAGGATGGCTCAGCTGGGTGAGCATGTTGTCCTACAAAGGGAAGGGCTGCTGATTCCATTCCAGTCAGGGCACAGGCCTGGATTGCAGTCTCCCACTGGGGGGGCATGTGAGAGGCAACCAATTGATCTTTCTCTCCCTCTCTTTCCCTCTTTCTTCCCCTCTACCTAAAGATAAATAAATAAAATCTTTTTTTTTTCTTAACAAGGTGGAGGTGAAGAGTGTGGTGATTTATTTTTTAAAAGATTTTATTCACTTATTTTTAGAGGGGAAGGGAAGGAGAGAAGGAGAGAAACATCAATGTATGGTTGCTTTTTTGGTGCATCCCCTGCTGGGAACTGGCCCCTGCTGGGAACTGGCCTACAACCCAGGCATGTGCCCTGACTGGGAATCAAACCCCGATCGTCTACTTTGCATGCCCGCGCTCAATCCACTGAGCTAGACCAGCCAGGGATTTTCCTTTTTCTTTAAGATTTTATTTATTTAGCCCTGGCTGGTCTAGCTCAGTGGATTGAGCGCGGGCATGCAAAGTAGACGATCGGGGTTTGATTCCCAGTCAGGGCACATGCCTGGGTTGCAGGCCAGTTCCCAGCAGGGGACTCATGAGAGGCAACCTTACAATGATATTTCTCTCCTTCTCTCCTTCTCTTCCTCTCTAAAGATAAATAAATAAAATCTTAAAAAAAAAGAAAATGATCACATGAAAAAAGTTTTCTTAAGCAGGAAGAATAAATGTGGCACAAGACGTTGATTCTAAAACTTCTTCCAGTTCCAACATCTGAGAAGACGATACTGATGACGTGCTTGCTATGCTCTAAGCACCTTGTAAGTATTCGATTCAAGCTGACCACCTACCCCTTCCTACAACCTGTTATGGTTTTATTGTCATCACTTCCATTTTACAGATGAGGGAACCCAGTTTCCATCAGGTAATTTGCGTTGACATAGAGCAACAGCTAGTACACGTCACAGCGGAGACGCAGACTTAGCGCAGTGATGGAAGCAGGTGTGGCAGCACCAGGCAGGAAGCCAACGTAGAGAGAGCATCAGGTAACCCTGCATCCTCCTCCTGCTGGAAGGATGTAGGGTTACCACGCCTAGCTGGGTACCCAGTTTTCACAAAGCACTCTGATCGGGGGGTATCTGATCCAGATGACTGGCTGCCATAGCAACACAGCTCTAAAGAGATGCTCATCTGTCCAGAACCTCTTCAGGGCACCCTGGCACCATGCCCTTTTCCCCAAAACTCAGTTGTTGTGAGTCCGTCAGCATCTGGTGCTGGTACAAAAGGGATTGTACCCCTGGGTTGTCCTCCCCCACACACAGCCTGCCTCTTGAACCCACACTGTTGGCTTTGTGACCGTATCTTCACACCCAAAAGATTGTGGGTTGCCTCCTGTTGCCATGGACAGCAGATGGTGCCCCATAACCGAGGTGCTTGTCTTCCCAAAGGCCTGCGACTCAGAGACTCACGAGCTGGGATCCAGCAATAAAACACAGGGACAGCCCAGCTCGCTCAGCATTGCATTCTGAAGCCTGTGTTTAGGGCAGATAATGCAGAGTCAAAACCAGTCCTGAAAAGCCCCAGAAAAAGCTGTGAGCAGCGTGGCTCCTTGGTCAAGTTCAGCTCCACTGGTCACCTCCAGTATCGTGCCCAGCTCCAAGTTTCAGTTTTGAGGCAAAAAAAAAAAAAAAAAAAAAAAAAGGTGACATCTTTTAAGCTCTGAAATTCTGCCTCATGTGGTGAGAGACTCAATTTCAAGAGGCGTGTTGAAACTGAGAGCCACAAAGGGAACAAGAGGTTCACGGAGGACTCTTATGTCCCACTCCCTCCTGGCCTTTCTACATGTTATTTTCCTCTACTTGGTTCTTTTCATCTTTGTTATTTATTTTTTTTCTTGTCATTTTAATAACTCCTGTTTTTATTGCATGCTTTGTTTATGCATAAATTTGCTAACAGAAATTAAATAAGTGTGATCACTTTGTTATTTTCTTTCAGTTGTTTGTTTGCCCATTGTACATGTCATGGGTCAGCGATGGGAATATGCACATTTTCCCATCGAACACCTTTGAGAAAGTAACGATATTGACAACTTTAAGATGAAAGTCACCCAGATCGAGACTATGAATGAATGTAAAGAAGTTTCAGGACTGACTTAACCAATACATTTCTATTATGTTTTCCTTTTATCGGACTCACAGGATGAGTGCATTGAAGTCAAAATTGTCACGTCTAAAGAAGTCCAAAACAGTTTTTCAACGTGCACGGAATACAAATTGTAAGTGATTGGAGAGCAGCTGTGTTTGATCGGAATGGATAGTATTTCTCTGTGTCTTTCTTGAGTCATAAAGTCAGGATGTGTCTTGGCACCAGTGAGGTCTTAGCACCGAGGAAACACGGACTTGGGGCCCGAGCGGCTCATGCTGTAAGGCTGGGCTCCTCTGCAGCAGAGTTTCAGAGCTGCAGCCACAGACCTTAGGGACTGAGGGTGGGAATCTATGGAGCTTGACTTTGAAATCAAAGATTTGTGGACGCTTGGAGATACATTGCAGAATCTGAAAGAACTGTGGAATGTCGGAACCGCGGAATCCCAGCCACAGAATCTAGGGGCTGGGTGGCCATCTGAGCTGTCATCTCGTAGACAAGAAGAATACAGCCCAGGGAATAGAAGTGATTTGCCACCACGGTGGCTCCTGACAGTAGAACAGGGCTAATGTGGGTATCTCCCGGTTCCTGCCCAGGAATCGCATCTTCGAGGCCAAGAGTGGACAGCCTTCCTTCTAACACAAGCTGCGGGGCAAACTGAAGGGTGGCGGTGGGGGAGCTAGGGTGGGAGGGAGCAGGGGGATGCCTGGTCCAGATGGAAAGACCTTCTGGGTCAGGCAGTACCTCTACTTCGAATCTCAGCAAAACCGCAGAGCGGTGTCAGGAGGCCCTGGTTTTCCAGCTCCACCTCCTGCCTCACTCAGCATCCCCTTCCCACCCATTTCATCTGCCCCTCAGTAAGCTTCCCCCTCGGTAAGCTTCGCCTGGGCCAGCCACAAGCACTTCCAACCTCTGTGCCTTTGCCCACGGTGCTCCAGGGGGCCCAAGGTCAGTCGTTCAAGTTGAGCACAGCCCAAGTGCCACGTCCGCACGGTAGGCTTTACAGTTTTAATGCAATCATTTCTGGCAGACGGCAGTCAAATGTCTTCAGGAAAAGACATCTTTTATGGCATTAGCAGGTACCCGCTATTTGCTCTGCCCGGGAATACCCCCCACCTCCCCCTTCTCCACCAAGCAAGCTCCTGCTCCATCCTTCAAGGCCTCCTTCAACTATCCGCCCCCTTCCTCCACGAAGATAACCATGGAAACACCTCCCCCAGGCTTCCCTCGCGGATTAAAGGTTAATAACATCAATCAATGCTAACTGGTGATACGGAGTCAATACTGCCTGGTGTATATTTCTAAAAAGTAGGGCAGGTACCATTTGCAGTGAGAGAGATAACACTAGGTGGAATTTGGACCCAGGATTAAAGAACACTGAATCGGATACAAGAACACAATGCTCTTTTCCATCATCTTTGATAAAGTCAGGGAGAAATATCTCAGTTTGGTGCAAGCCTGTCTTCCATCCCTCTGACGCTGTTAATCCCCCATTTTGTCAAAGAGCGAGCAGGCTGCGGCTGAGAGCCTCCGTCAGGCAGTGGTGTCTGCTGAGAACTCTCTACTCCACCTTCTTTAAATTGTATTTATTTATAAGACCTGCTTGGTATCTATGGCACATGGTGCCAATTTTCCACTTCCCGTGGCGTTATAAAGTCTTATTTACAAACCAAGGCGTCTGAGTGGAAAATAGTAAGTCTATTTAAATAAAAACGTTAAGTAAATAACAAAACAGGTGTTGAGTAGAGAGGGCGAAAAACCATGAGAACGGTGCGTGAGGAAATAGAGTTTGAAAACACAGATTTGTTTGGGGGTGCAGCCCTGGAGCCAGACCGTCTGGGTTCAGTTCTCCACCCAGCGCCAGCTGTGTGACCTTGGGCAAGCCGCTTCCCCTCTCTGAGCCTCGATTTCCTCACTTGCTAAATGGGAATAATTATAATACCAGCCTCCTAGAGGAGTTCAAAAGATATACCAAGAGAATGTGCATAGAGAATTTTGCAGGGCCTGCCGCTTTTATTATTAGTATTTGAGACTTGGCGAAGTCACACGCTGGCAACGGTGAGGGAACTCCAGGCACAAGGTTGGTCACAGACCCAGGAGACGTTTTTGGCTTTAGAAACTTTTATTTGCATGAGAAAGATGGGGAAATGGAACCCGAGGAAGGGGTGAGAGGAGGGACAAGAAATGGAGTGTGGACTCATTTGGGGGGCTCAGCAGCCAGGACCGGGAAGCAGCCCTCACGATGCCACTGCCTGTCCCGCAGGCGGCGCACGGCCTGCATCTGGGGCTGGAAGGCCCCCCACTCGTTCCAATGCCGGAAGTCACCAGGCTCCAGGAGGTACTGGTACCCGCGGTAGCCAGGATACTGATAGCCTACCCAGCTGCGGGGGCGGGGGAAGCAAGAAGAACTGTGTAGAGATGGCCAGCCTCACTGCCCGCCATCCAGACCCCTGCCTGGATTGGCCAGTCCTCCATGTGTCCTTGCGGTCACTGCTAGAAAATGGGGATGGCCACCTTGCAAGGTCTGGTTTCAGTTCGAGCCTCCTCAGACAAGCCTCTGACCTGTCCTCCACTCCATCACACCTCCCCAGAAGCTGTCCTTCCTCCTCTGGCCTCCTGTGTGGACCATCTCTTCCTTAGCACCGTGGGACATCATCTCACAGATATATGTGGGTCTCCCTGCTCGGCTGAGTAAGCCCTGCAAGGACAGGAACTGAGCCTTGTCCATCTCTTCCTCCCCGGTGCCCAACTCCTACCAGCCACTGCTTAGTACATTTCTGATGACTTCAATGCGGGGATATGAGTTTCAGGGAAGAAGGAAGGAACAAGAAAAAGGCCAGGGCCCTGACGGTTTTACAGCAGCTCCGCAAGAGTCTGCAGTAGAGAGGAAGAAGCCTGCCATTTACCTAGAGGAGACCAGGGGTGTCTGGCATGGCTGTTTGGGGACAGGGGTGGATAAAATGACCTCCTTCGGGCATCTAACCCTTCTCTGTTTTCCCACAGACATGGGATCACAGGGCTCTGTTTAGAACGTTTCAAATACTGCAAGTTCAGAGCTGAAAGAGCCCTTTTACATCAAGGAGTTTCATGTACCCGTTGTATAAATAGCAACACTGAGGTACAGAGGGGGGCACGGGACTTACCCAGGTTTCACAGCAGGTCAGTGACAGAGTCGAGTCTCTTTGATTACACAGTCTCATCCCTCAGAAATCATTCGCTCATTTCCCCAGAGGCTCTGGATTTCTCTGAATTTCTTTCTCCCTAGATGCACCCACACTCATCTATCTGCACAACTCTGCCCCCTTTACTCAGTTATTCTTTTAATCCCAATGTAGGTTTAGAAGCCCCTAGTCTCTCCATCTTCCAGCTTTTTAGATGCAGCTGTCAGGTTTGTTTACACTGACTTGTAACTCATCAAAGAATGACCCCATCTCCCTGAGGGGTAAAGCTCTGTTGGTGGAATTTCCACCACGAGCACTGGCAGAACTAGAAAGAGGCTGTGGCCTTTCCTATGTGTTTGATGTTGTATCGTCTAAGAGGCACAGACTCCAAGTCTGTCTGCGTTTGAAGCAGGGGCTGAGTGTCTGGCAGGAGGACACTTACGTTCCACTGGAGACCCTCACGCTGCCCACCCGGTCACAGAAGCCATAGACCCAGAGACTGGGCACGTCATCCTCCTGGATCTCCATGGTGTTGCCCTTGAAGTTGGCTCCTTCGAACAGGCAGATCTTGTGCTCCTGGGAGTCCTGGGGAAGAAGAGGCCGAGTCAGGCATGGGAAGTATGAACAGGTCAAAGAGAAGCAACTTAGTTGGGCCTCCTGGATGTGAAAAGTCTGTTCAGGCCACTGTGGGACCCTCCCAGGATGGCTGCCGTCCAGCCTGGAAGGGCTGCCTTCACCTGTGGGAAAAACAGCTGCCAGCCTCTACCTCATGGAGTTGTCATGAGCATTAAAGGAGTCGATACACATAGAACACTTAGCACAATGACTAGCAGACCCTCCAAATTCTTATTCATTATGTTTATGACTACAGTCAGGACACAGCAGCTCAGGGACATAAGTTCTTGATTAATGTAACACAGCCAGTGAGGGGCAGAACCTTTAGAGAAGCATTTTACTTCTCCCATTTGATTTAGTACCCCTCCCCCCTCCATTCCCTCTGGCTGATTTTTTCTTTTTTATCCTCACCCAATTACATTTTTTTTCCATTGCTTTTAGAGAGACAGGAAAGGGAGTGGGAGACAGAGACAGAGAGAGAGAAACATTGATGTGAAAGAGAAACATCAGTTGGTTGCCTTTTGTATGCACCCCAATTGAGGATCACACCCACAACCTAGGTGTGTCTTGACCCAGAACTGAGCCTGCAACCTTTCAGTGTATGAGACGATGCTCCAACCAATTGAGCCATCCAGCCAGGGCCACACACCCAGTCCTCCTGGCTTCAGAAACTTGGCACTCACTGTTCCCTGGAAGCCTTCTCCACCACTCTTCGCATGGCTGACTCAATGTCCATCCCTCAGGATCTGTCTTCTCCGATCACCCCTGAGCACTCCTCCCCCACAGCATCAGAGCTCCGGTCCCTCCCTTCCGCTCTCCTAGCACGCTCACTGCTTAGTCCCTGAGCAGCACGGACCACAGTGGTTTGTCACAACAGATCGATTTCCATGATAAGGTTTCAATAGCTGCCTCCCACAAAGCCAGGGGCCATGCCTGTCCTGTGCAGAGTTGCAGCCAGAACCTCCCAGGAGCCCAGCGGAAACAGATCAACCAATGGTGTTCAGAGGCGTGGCTATTAAGTGGAAGATGGTTGGGTTAGAGATCCTTCTAGCTATCCAGATGCGGAGGCGGGGAAGGAGGCAGGGAACTCAGTGTGGAGGGAGCTGGCGATGTCCAGGGCGGAGATAACAAAGGTGGCCCATAGCCGGAGGGAGGCCCGGATAAGGGACTAGTTTAACCAGACCAGTGGCTCTCAGCCCCGACTGCACGATCCGCCTGGGGACATGAAGAAGGCAGCAGTGCCTGCATCCTATTCCCAGAGATTTGGATTTTGTCAGTCTGGGGAGGGGTCCAGGCATCGGGAATTTTTTCCAATAATATATTGATTTAAGGAAATACGTCCAAAATACTATACTTTCAACTGGTAACCCATATAACAATATTAAGGAGAGCGTTTACATTCTTATCTTGCTTTTTCCTACGTCTTCAGCGTCTGGTGTGTGTGTTACATGTACAGCACGTATCCAGTTGGACTGGCCCAGACGTAAGTGTTCGGCAGCCGCACACAGCTACTGCCCACGGTACTGGACAGCGAGGCTGTAGGAGCTCTGGAAGTGCGCTGGCTGGTGGCCCTTCCCAAAGGCTCCCTTGACCTAGATTGCCATTTAAAGACCCTTCCACAATGGAAAGATGCATCCATGAGTTCTTACTCAGGGTTCATTATAAAGGCTGATCATTCAGCCTCGAATTCTGAGAAAAAACATTGGAAACAATCTGGTTGAATAATCCATTAAGAGAAATCGGGTGGTGCTTGAAGAGCTGGCTGCTGGCTTTACAGGCCCGCCCCCCCCCCTCACCCCGTGAACATTCTTTGGGAAAATTCTGTCCAGGGAGGCAGGAGTTGGTTACCATGAGAATCGGATGCTGGCAAGTGAGGATGTGGTTGGTTCATGAGTCACGATCAACACACTTCTGAAGAAACTGTGAATTGCTTGGGGATAACTCCACCTAACTTGGCTTTGAGTCTTCTATACGTCACACTAAATATTCACATGTCACACGTTAATATTTAACTTAGCTAAATGCTGTAAAAGGGCTAATTCAGTATATTGCCTTCTCATTGAGAAGTTCCAGGTGCCTGTCTACCACACCCCTCTTCTCAGACACTGCACACGTTCCCACCTGCCAGCTGGATGTTTTGAATGGACACCTGGATGCTCAAAGCTCCCCAGGAGGGTCTCCTGTGCGGCCAGGAACTGGAAACATTCCACACAGAGAATCAAGGTAGGCGCTGCAGTTTCTAGCTCCAACCCCTGGGAGGTTGGGTCCCCTCTTGATAGCAGCAGGGAAGGAAACTAATGGGTTTCATGTTTCTCATTTGCCCAGGGCTCCAAGCTGGGGCTGGACACATCGGAGATGTCTTAGGACTCGGGCCACACAAGAGCCCCGCCCCCCCACTCCTTGGACAACTAGCAGGTCTCCACGCCTCCCTGCTCACCATTCCCTCCTTCTTCCCCTGCTCACTCCCATTTGCTTGCTTGCTGTCAGACTTCACACCTGCCCTGGCCCTCGCCACCGATGCCCCAGGCCCTGTCCAGGAGCCACTCACCATCCTGACGGGTCGGAAAGACATGAGCCGGTCGCTGCGGTAGCTGCTGGACCAGGTGTCCCAGCGTGGGTACTCGCCCTTCTCCAGGATGAACATCTCCCCCCGGAAGTTGGACTGCTCAAAGGCGACCCAGCTGGATGTGAGAGAGATGGGGACGGTGAGGAGGGTGAGGAGGGCCGGGAGGGGCAAAGGCAGAAAGGAGAGGAATCATTAGCAGAAGCCCCTCACCCACTTGCAAGGTAGCCCCAAAGCCAGTGGTTCGATCCCAGTCTGCCACTTACTGGCTTTGTGACCATAGGCAAGTGGCTTATGGCAACTGAGCCTTCATTTCTTCCTATAATACCCCTGTTTCCCTGGAGTTGGAGAAGGATTAAATGAGACAATATGTGTAATTAAATGAGCAAAGTTCCCCCAGATGTAGGATTCGCTCATGATTTGAGTACCAGGAGGACCCGGTGTAAGAGACCACATAAGAAGACATTTTCCTCTGCAACCTGATCACAGCCAGTGGAGTCTCTACTGGGTGCTAATGTGCCCCTAACACTAATCTCCGTGTTTGTGGCAAAGGAAGAGTCGGCCCCCAGCACAGGGCCTCAGACGACAGTGCTGCTCTGTGCACATCGTGGTCACTTCTTATGGACAGCTTTCCCTTACAGCAAGAGATACCAGCTTTCCGTCTGTAAAAGGGATGCACCAGTTCTTTTAAAATATATCTATTTCTGCTGAAAAGGGTCATTTTAAATGAAATATATTAAATAAAAGTAGTTCTCCAGGTAGAGCGGGAAGGGGAAAATTGATACAGGTGATTAAATCCTATGTTCAGTAAAGACCGGCCCGGCAGGCCTGGCTGTTTTGCTCAGCTGGTGAGAGCATCGTCCCCGATACGCTGAGGCTGTAGGTTCAATCTCCAGTCAGGGCAGCAGGGCGATGAATGGGCAAATACAAGATCCAACCAATGAATGCCTAAATGAGTGGAACAACAAATCAATGTCTCTCTGTCTCTCTCCCTTCCTCTCTCTCTAAAAATCAATAAAAATAAAAACAGAAGACTGGCCTGCCATACGGAAGACAGTCATTGGTATGAGGGCAGTAGAAGGGAATTGATAGATAACAAGGTCCAGCTCTCAGATACCTATGAGAATTAAATGCGATCGTGTATATGAAGGTGTTCGTTCCTCACCAAAAACTAACTACAAGCGTGAAGACAAATGAGGGCTTTGTTGCCTGCTTTTTTCCCTTCTGCAGCCTGCTTAAGGAGGGAAGTGAGGTTGTGTTAGAAGGACCAGAGATTCTGGGGGAGATGGGGTGATCCCCATTTCATTGATGAGAAGGCTGAGATTAAGGGACCCCTTGATCTTAGCTCTCTATGTGTTCTCAGGAATGAAAGAGGATGCCGACACCAGTATCATCTCCCTGGGGGCTGCTGGGACCTTCCTCTACCCAAGGAGATAGGGAGAGGGGGTGGAGAGCTGGCTCCCACCATGGCTGAAACAGAAGGTGTCCAGGAGCCCCAGGTCTTGTCTGAGGAATGAGCCAACCCATACGGGAGTGGCGGAATTGAAGATGCAGACTTATGCTCTCAGAATGGAGTTGAATCTGTCTCAGCCCTGCATAGTCCGGAGTAGGGAAGAAAAGGAGGGAGGTATGGATGAACGGAAGGATGGATGAATGGATGAACTGATAGTTGAATGAATGGGTAGATGGATGGATGAGTAAGTGGGTAAGAGGGTGATGGATACATGGGTGGATGGATAGGTGGGTGGATGAGTGTATTGATGGATGTACAAATGTACTGATGGATGGACAAATATATTGATGGGTGGATGAATGTACTGATGGATGGACGAATGACTGCATGATCGAAAAGGGATGGGTGCAAGGAGTGGTAAGCAGATGGATGAATAAATGGATGGAGAATAAATGGATAGATGGAGGGATACATAGGTGGATGGAAAAGGGATCCTTGGAAGATGGTGCCAGGTAGGAATGAAGGTCATGGACTCCAGAAACAGAGACCTGAGCTCTAATCCCTGCTCATCATTTATTTTCTGATTGAATTTGGGCAAGTTGCTTGAGCTGGTTAAGCCTCAGCAAGAGAGGAAATGACTGCATCTACCTGGTCAGGATGTTATGAGGGTCTAAAAAAGGAATCTACAAAACAAGTCCAGCACAGAGAAAACACAATAAATAGTATATTTTATGGCTGAAGAGCAAGCGAAACTCCTGGAGGGCTGAGCTCAAGGAGAGGCAGACACCCACGTGGTCCTGCCACACTGCCCGCTACCCCCAGTACCCCTGTCCTCTTCATGGTGCCCAGGGAGGACCTGTTCCATGAGTGAGAAATGTTGTGTTTATTTCAGTGCCTTTTCTCATTTCCTATGGCTCATTTGAGCCCTAGGAGCAAGGAGCATGGTAAGGCAGGAATCTTAATTTACAGACCTGGAAACTGAGGCTTGGAGGGGTTCAGTCACCTGTTTAAGGTCCCCTAGGCTTCCCGCAGTCAGGCCCCTGTGCTGAAGTCCGGCCCCTCCTCCCTTCCCCCACCAACCGCATCCCCTCCGACCTCTTTTCCCCACCGTCGTTTTCCTTCATCCCTGCTCGTCCTGACAAAGACCAGGGGCCCTGGACCACAGGCTCTACTCTCTCCCCATCAGGCACAGCCCTGGGACACGCACCAAAGACCAGCTGCGGCTTTGTCTGAGGAGAAATACTTTGGGTTTGAATCACTTCCACTGAAAAAAGCTTAAAAACCCAACTGGCCACATCCGGCAGCTTCTGTTCCCAGCTGGGCTTTAGGAATGGGGGTGGAGCTGAGGCTGTGTTGACCACACTGAGGGTGGGGGTGGTTGCAGGATATAGAAATGTGCCCCCCCCCTCACACTCAACCAGGGTGACTCAGCTAAGCTCACAGGGCAGTGGGGAGGGCCCACAATCATCACTGCCCCTGCCATGTTCGGGCGGGCATCCAGGAAGTGCCAGCCCCAAGCCGAGTTATCTCCTTCGGGGCTCAGAATAATTCAGCCGAGAGTAGTGGGGACATCATTTCAGAGATGAGAACACTGAGGCTTAGAGACTGAGCAAGGTCTGGGGGACCTGCACCCAAGTCTCAGCTCAAAGCCCATCTCTGCTCTTTGTACTGCAAAGAGCCCCAGGATGCTGGACATACAGGCTGACCATTGCCCCTCAGGGGCTTTGGAGCTGAGGAGACAAGCAGCAAAGGGGCCACGTGGGTCTTGTCATGTGTCCTCACTTCAGTCCACAGGGCTGAAGCTGGTACAGCCACTGTGTCTAAGGGAAAATTATTCCTGGGGGTCACCGAGGCTCAGAGAAGCCCAGAGAGTTGGGGCAGGCCAGGGAGGATTAGGCATGAACTTGGTCAACCAGTGTTGAACCCAGGTTCCGCCACCTACCAGTAGGTGACTTTGGCCCAGTGACTTAACCACTCTGAACCTCGGTCTGCCTATCTGTCAAAGGGGTATAAGAATAGCCCCTCCCTCAAACTGCACTGTGCAATCTAGGTGAAGCCCTGAGTCTGTGCCTGACACCCAGTGGGTACTCAGCAAGTACTTATTGTTACTCTTAGGACTGCTTCATGCCCAGGGTGGTAGACACTGGCCCCTTGGTCTCCTGCCCTCAGCGAGGGGCAGGGCTCCTTTAATAGTAGAAGCAGTATTTCCCTAAAGCCCAGAATCCTGCCTTACCGTCAGTGTGACACTATGCTAATCAAACCACCTCCTGAGCCTCAGTTTCCTCAGTAAAACAGGGGGAGTAGTACCTTCTCCTCCCTCTCAGGTTTGACACAAAGACTAGAAACAGTATTTGTGTCTCTGCTGCGACAGTGCAGATGCCCCAGTAAATGGCAGCTACTGCTGCTTTACTGCTATTTCACTCTGGCAGCAAGAGAGTCCCTCTCCTGCCTGACACTCACGGTCCAGAGGTGACGATGAGGCTGCGCACTCGGTCGAAGCCGCGGTCTCCCAGGTTCAAGCACTCACCGGAGAATTCCACCCGATGGCCCTGGAAGTTCTCCTGTTCGAAGACCACCAGCTGGAGGAGAGAAGCCCCGAGCCCGGGGTGGGGTGGGGGCAGAGTGAGTGGAAAGGAGCACCTCCAAACTGGAGAAAAATGCATTAAGTTCCCCTCTGAGTGAAAGCAGGCTAAGTGCAGATCCCAGGGCAGTGTGCCACAAGCCAGGGTCTGAGAAATGACTCCGTGTCCCTCCCTCTACTTCTGAACTTAATATCTGCCCCATTGTTAGGAACCGATGGGTCTTCCTTCCAGGCCTTGATCTGTGCTGTTCCTTCTGCCTGGCACGCCCTCTCCACCACACCCTCCATCCTAGAGCTCATGTTCCCTGTTCTGTTTCAGGCTCAGACATCACCTCCTCCAGGAAGCCTTCTCTGATGCCCTCTTTAGGTGCACTTGGTTGAGTGCCCCCCACTGTGCTCACTCCATCATGAGCAATATGAGTAACACACTATACAAGTGACTGTCGCACTCTGAAAAACCATACAGCTGGGAAAAGGACTGGCCCCCAGCAATGCGACACAATGTGGATGACTGTTGGGGACCTCAGAGCGAGTGACAAACAAGGAAAAGCCCAGAATGACCACATATGGCATATTTCAATAAGCTAAAAACACATTAATAACAAATACTTTTAAAGGAATAGCATCTAAAAATGCATTAACAAGCAAGCAAAGCTTGGACTGATGGGGTGAAGATGGCAGTTACCTTGGGTGCGGGAGGAGGGCGGGGGACTGGCGAGTGACATTTCCCTTAGAATTAGAGGATTTTCTAAAATCAAGTCCTAGCTTTCAATATGGGTGGTGGGTTTCTGGTGCGTGTTAAAAATGAAATAAACAATTCAGTAAGTGACTAGGTAATAAAAGCCAGCGTGGACCACAGGAGAGAATGTCAGGGATCAAAGGTGGTGAACCAGTTCTGTGCTGCTGAGGTGGAAACCAGCCCAACCCAACCCCAGGGGCCTTTGCTCTCCAGGAAGACTTACGGCCTGAACTTGAGACAATTTTCAGGAGGGCCGGAGGCCACCCTGCTGTCTTTAGAGAACCTCGGGGCCAGGTGTTTCCTGCCGCTGAGCCAGCCCTCTCTCTTCCCTTCTTTAGTTTGTTTCTTGCTTTCGCAAACTAAACACGTGCTCGCGCAGGTCAGAGACTGGCAGGAGGAGGGGAAGAGGGAAGAGGAAGCGTGGGGTGGAACTCAGTCACCCCACCCCCAGGTCCTTACCCGGTAGCTCCCGGGTGCCGGTTCCCCGATTTTGCCGGTGGGCTTGGGCGTTGACGCCGGGGCCGGGGCGGGGCCGGGGGCGGGGCCTGTGGGCGGAGCCCCTTTCCCCTTGCTGTCGGGGCCTGGGTTCACCGCAGCTGTTGTCGAGGTCTTGGCGGGCTGAGACATGGCGCCCCCCAGCAAACGCCTGTAAAGGCACCTTCGGCCTAGGTTAATTCAGGGATGGCACTCCGAAGTTTCCTCCCCACTCTCATACCCCCTGCCCTTGTGTTTTTCACGCTTCTTTCAACTCATTTCTGATTTTCTCCTTCTAAACATAATCCTGGAAGTCTTCTGGCCTGACCCCCTTCCCTAAGCAAGAAGTTCCGACTGGGACCCACGCACCCCTGATATCGCTTCCTCCAGGCCTTTAACCAGGCGTATTCCCCCACCAGTCTCGCCTTTCCTTCCACCTGCCGTGTTCATACTGTACACCTGCAGCTTTTCACACCCCTGATCACACTTCTTTGCTTGTTCAGCTTCAATCTGCTTTACCAGGTTAATAACAGGAAGTCGCTCTTGGTGCAGGATAGGTACGCCAGGCTCTGCTGGATGCAGTCCTGAACTCGTCTGTTCGCATCCTAACCCCATGCCACTGGTGCCGTCTCACCCGCTCTGAGCAGTCTGAGGCCCAGAGAGGGAAGCTGACCTGCCCAAGCCCACACAGCCACTAAGGGATAGATAGGCGTCCAATTTCAGCTCCAGCAGATGGACCCAGCAGCAGGGCTATGAAATGCTCTGCTGTTTACTTGTTCTGATGTCTTCGCCCTCCGTCCCCAGCACCTGGCTTAGCCCCCGACACAAAGGGGATTCTCATCTAACGTCTGTTCAGAGAGGGAATGGAATGGACGCTGGTTCCTGTCTCATTCCCCAGTCAAACTGCGGCCTCGCACGTTCCCTGGGAAGGAGTGTGTGGGTGCAGATTCGGGCCTGGGACTGGGGAAGGAAGGCGGTCCCCGGAGAATGTCTTCGGTGCATGTTCGGGTTCTAAAATGAGGACTGTGGCTGTGTAGGCGTTGGGTGGAGAGGGCTGGGGCCCGAATTTCAGAGGTTTCCCTGTTGTTTTGGGGTCATGCCTGCCTTTGAGTGTTTGACAAATGCTTTGTTTTTGTCCCCATGAAGGGGACTTCCCTCTTTCATTTTAGAGACAATCCCCAGGGATTTGAGGACACCCTGACGATGTAGACTGAGACCCTGTGGTCCAGTGGATTCTAAAAGCTTCTCCCCCACTGCTCCCCCACCCCCGGGGAAAGACTGTTGTTACTCTGGGGTGCACTGCCCGCCATGGGCAGGCCAGACATCTGGGCCACATGTGTGGCTTCCAGGCTCTCGCTTACTTCCCTGTGGCATCCTGTGAATCAACACTCCCTGGGCCAGTGGCTGGACTCGTTTCTTCCTGGAGGTACATTTCTGTTCATTTCCTCCCCACCCCACGCCTCTTCTCTCTCCTCCAGCATCGTGCTTCCTTTGTACGTCTGCCGAGCCCTCTGTCTGTTCTGGTACCGTGTTTTCTTCTCCCTCCCTCTCCCCCCTTCCCTTAATTGCCTCCTCTCTCTGTGACTCTTCTGTAACTGTTCTCTCTGCCTCCGGACTTCTCTGACGCCTCTCTCTTCTCCCCTCCCCTTCAGCTGTCAGTGGCCTGGTGAGTTCCTCTTACCTGGGGACCTGGAATTTCCTGCTGGAGGACAGGCAGGCAGACGCGTGGGTGCTGTGGGCCACTGGGGCCGACCCCCCACTTTATAGTCTGGCAGACACCAGGCCCTCTAGTCTGTGGCACAAAGAGGGAGCTGGCTCAGCAGGCCCCAGGCGTGCGGCAGGGGTGGGGGTGAGGGGCCCCCGAGGCCACCCCCTCCCTGGGTTACTGCAGAGAGAAGCACTTTCCATTGTGAGCCCAGCACGCACATCAGAAACCCCGGTCAGCAGGGACTTCACCCCATCTCTCCCCTGCTGCCTCACTCAGAAACTCTAGCCCCAGGGGGCCTGTGGGGTCCCCCACCAGCTGCCAGTTTGGGAGCAGGGAAAAGGGGAGCCCCTGGCAAGCGGGAAACCTGGATTTCAATCCCGGCTCAGCTACAGTGCGCCTTTCGGCAGGTCTCTGCTCTTCAGGACCTCCGTGCCTGCTGGCAGAGCGTCCCTGCTGGGTGCTGAACGGGAAAGAAGGTGATGATGAGCATCGGAGATGGGAAAATGCTTTGTGAAGGTGCGTGGGGTTGTACTCTCCACAGCGCCACTTCCGAGGGCCTGCTGGGTACTACACACCAAATGCCCGACCCACGCCATCTTGGTCGATAACTAGGACAGCCCACCTAATTGACACTCTCATTATACCCATTTCACAGATGACCGCAGCTAGGGCACAGAGAGGTCAGAGGCAGGAGTTGGCCCAGGTAGGGAGCCCTGCATGATTCAGTCTCATGATGTGCGACCTTGGCCCTGGCTTGATTTCCTGCTTCTACACAGAGGGGTAGGGCTGGGGGATCTCCCTGTGCTCGGTGTGTGGACTATTTAATGCACAGGTGGCACACACGAGGCCCGAGGGCCAAACCCGGCCCTCCATGTTGTTTTACCTGGTCCGGCACCTTGTTTCTACCCTGTGGCAGCGCCAAGCTCTCGCTTAACTGTGAAGGCGTAGTTGCATTTATACAGCCCTAAAATGACACTCGGCCCTTAGAAGGCAACCAAGAGGCTGACGTGGCCCCTGGTGAAAATGAGTTTGACATCCCCGATTTAATGCCTGGGTTCCGTTCCTCTGCTCACATTGGGCCCAGACACCTCCCCCTGCTTTCTCCCAACCACCAGCTTGTAGACACTTCGTCTGCCCCATTGTTTGACTCCAGGGACAGAGCCGGTGGCCAGGACCCTGACTGCTTATCTCGGAGCTTCCTCTGGGAGGCCCTCCACACCACCACAGCCCGTCACCCCCAGGCCCCAGCACCTAGCACAGGGCCTGACGCAGAGTAGGTGTCTTATCAGTTTGGCGGGGACTAGATGGTCACAGTGGATCATAATGGAAGGTGGGGCACAGGGGGAGAGAGAGGAACCGAGATGGGGAGACAGAAACAATGTGGACACTGATGGAGAGAACTGGAGAGCAACAGAGAAAGATCATAGAGACGGAAATACAGAGGGGCAGGGAGGGGACCAGAGAGTGGAGGAGAGAGAGGGGGTCAGACAGAGAGGGGGAGGCAGACAGAGACAGGGGCAATAGAATAATAGCCCCAGAGTAATGGAACAGATACCAGAAGTCCCAGCATTCAATTGTCTCATTTCACGGATGGAGAAACTAAGCCCAGGTAGAACAAGTGACTTCAACTAGGTCACATGGTGTGAACTCACAGTAGAGCCAGGGTTGAAGGAACCCAGACAAACTACTAAGCCAGGTCAGCCTGCAGTCTGACCTCCCCCCGCCCTACCCCAGCTGGGCTTGGGGAAGCGGGGGGCTCGCCCAGGTTCCTGCCTCTTCTGCAGAGATCCAGGGACCCGCATTTCCCTTGGAGCCTGACCGTGGCCTGCGCTCTTTTCTGCCCCTCCCTCACATCCCAGGTGCTTCCTTAGACTTTCATCCTGCGCCAAGGCCTGGGAGGCAGGCAGGAACCACAGGACGGGACACAGGAACGGGGCCAAGACACATGGGTGGTGGGGGGCCACCCACGGGTCTGGGCTTCAAGGCCAGGATGTCTGGGGCAGTGCCCTTTCTCCCGCGGCCATGGGGCTGCCTGCCAAAGGGTGGGCACAGAGGCGGGGAATGCCAAGTGGTGACCTGGCTCCTGCAATCCTCACTCTGACGCTGGGGGGTCTCCCGGGTCGATCCTCTTTGTGGACAAGGAAACTGAGGCAGACCCCTTTCCCCTCTCTCAGCCTGTTGGCTCATCTGTAAAATGCAATCGGGAAGGCACATCTTTTAAACTCCTGGACCAAAGCTCTTAACACTATGCACTCCTGGTTTTATATGAATCACGATTTAACAGTAATCATGGTTATTATTTGCAGTGATGATGACGATGATGGCGGCACAGAATGCCGTTTGTGCGCCCAGCGTGTTCACGTGTACTTCACGTTTCCCCTCGTTTACCCTCGTCTCTTCGGCTGACCTGGTTTACTCTGTTGTATCTGCTTCACTCACGAGGAAACCGAGGCTCGGAGAGATTCAGTTAACGCGCCCAAGGTTATCCAGCCAGCAAGAGCGGATGCAAACCCAGGCTGTCTGGCTGCTGGGGCTGCATTCTTAGCCTTTGATCCTCAAGGCAGCCCTTTACGGAAGCCCTGCCTTTGACGGGGCTCTTTGTAATTTAACCCCCGCAGAGGGACCAATGTCGCCCCTGTGTAGGCCAGGGGCTGAGATCAGACATTCTCAGGTCACCCGGCTGTCCAGAGGCAGCCTTGAATTTCACCCAGACTGGTCCCTGCCATGCTCTTGCCTTCTCTGTGAGAAGCCCCTTTTAGGTCAAATCAGAAGGTGTGGGAAGAGGATGCACAAAGCAGATTCTACAAAGCCTGGCTATTTGGCAGGCGTGCTACAGATTGCATGGCGCGTTTGCACCCACCTGCTCTTTTAGTCTGTCCACACAGCCACCTGAACTCCTTCCTGGGCTTTGTGGGCCCTGTGCGCCTGGGCCCAGGTATCTTTCCTGCCTGGCTTTCTTTACCCCTTCAGGGTTTCTGAACTCCAGCTCAGTTGGGCTCTTTCTCATAGACATACCCTAAGTTCCCACCTCTGCACTTTTGCTTAGAAGAGCATTTCCTTCCATTTCCCGTTCTACAAATCCTCCTCAACCTTCAGAGTCTACTTTTAAATGCCACCTCCAACAGGAAGCCTACCCCGATTGCCCCTGCTGAAAGAAGAAATAGTGTAAGAAGAGGGAAAGGTACAGGCATTTGCTGAGTGTTATGCCAGTTTTGTGCTATAACATCACGACACCCCAGTGATATAGTGTATTTTTGTGCCATTTTATAGGCAGAAACTGGGGAGAAATGACCTGCTGCAGGTCACACTGCTGGGAAGGACCTGGTTTTTGGACTCCTTGTCCAGTGCTCATTCTCCTGCTCCAGTCAGGGGTTCCATGGAGCCGATTAAGGCTGACCTTCCTCCTCTGGCCTTCTTTGTGGCTGATCCTGGGGGGAGGCCCCCTACCCCTTTCCCTCCCAGCTGAAGGCAGTGGTGCTGACACCTCTCCGCTGGGGCTTCAGCCAGGGCAGCCTTTTGTTCCTGCTGCTCACTTGCTGACTCAGAGCTTTGCCTCCCGGAGGCCCTCTCCCCTCCCTGCCTATAAGAGCCTGACCTTGCCTGGTGGCAGGTCGGGCACGTTCTCTGGGTCCATCCTCGGTAAGTCCCAGGCTTGAAGAAGGGGTGGGATCCAAACTCTGAGGGAGTATCCTGGGAGGCAGGGGAGCCCAGGTCCCCAATCCTGGGGATGTCCCTGTGTCATCCTGCATGGCTTCCTCATCCTAACCCAGGCCAGGCCCCCGACATCAAGACTCGTACCTGCTATCCTCACTTAAAAACAGAATTATTCCGTAGTCCTGCTGCTTTGATTTCCACCAGAGCGGGTGATTTTAGAGATGGTGACAGGAAGGTAGCAAAGCAAGTGGGACGGGAAAGAGGGGGACAGGCCTTGCCCCTAGCCCGGGCACATCTAGCCCCATCTGGATCCCTTTCTTGCTTAATCTAGATGTCAGTGTCAAGGAGAGCAGAGTCAGGGCCAAGGTTACCATGTTCTTCTCTCGCGTAGGCAGGCAGCAACATGGCCTTGCAATGCACCAAGTCAGCGGGACACTGGAAGGTAGGAAGAGGCGTGGGAGGTTCCTGGGAAGTGGGGGGCACGGGTCAAACCCAGGTCCAGGACGTCTCCCACCTCCAGCAACATGGAATCCCCATCTCACAATTGTGAGGGTCCATTTCACGGAGGAAGGAATCTGTGTTGAAAGAGGGGAGGGAACTTGGCCAAGGTCACACACAGAATTTGAATTGACCTTGGGTCTTCTGGTCCCCGGATTTAACCATTACACTCTCTGGCAGAGACGGCAAACTGGTGATTGCAGTCTTTCAGCATTATTTCTCTGGCCTCCTCTGTGTATTAAAAAAACCCCAAAACATCTTAAATTTGTCATCCCTTTTTAAAAATGTGAAGAGTCCAGGTACAGTGACTGTCTTCAGAAATCGGGAAGTTGGCCCGCATCCCTACATAACAAGACGCTGTGCAGACACCCCCTGTTTATGCTGGGCCAGCGCGCTCCTTACCAGTCTGGCTACTGGAGGCGTCTGAGTTTGCAGTCCTCACCTTTATCTGTCCCGCCTCATCTTGAGTCCTGGGGCGAACCCCTAACGCCTCACCCGGCACAGGACTGTGGTGTGGTTCCTCACCTTTCCTCTCTGTCCTAGATTGTCGTGTGGGACGAGGAGGGCTTCCAGGGCCGGCGGCACGAGTTCACGGCGGAGTGCCCCAGCGTGCTGGAACTTGGCTTTGAGACTGTGCGATCTTTGAAAGTGCTGAGTGGAGCGTGAGTCTGGGGGAATCTGAGCCGGGTCGGGGAGACAGCAGGGGATCTAGACAGGGGTGCGGGAACCGTCAGATGTTTTAGACCCTATCTTCCCAGGCTGTAACTTCCGGTGGGTCAGAAGTGCTGGGGAGATTGCGCACCGCCCACCCGTAGGGGGCGCCATTCACACAGATCCCGTGCACTGGGTGGGAGGACGCTGCGGGACTGAAACGTCCCTTTTAGGCATCTATCTAAAAGCAACATCACTTACCCAAAATGGCAGGGGGCCGTTAAAATATAGTAAAAAAAAGCGCTATTCATTTTTAGTTGAACATTGTTGCTTAACTGAGACTCTGAGCAGGAGAGATGGGGTTTTTTTTGATTGGTGAGATGCACAAAGGTGTTAAGGAGACACCAATACCATCCGAGACTTTCTGAACCAGCGCCGTTCAGGCAAACTCGCTGCCGTGATGAAAATACTGCCGGCTTTGGGACCACGAGCCCCATAGGGCCACGGAGGGCTTGAAATGTAGCTGGCGTGACTAAAGACGTGAAGCTTTGATTTGATTCAACTTATTTAAGTTTACATTTGATTGGCATCTCATTGGCTAATGGCTACTGCATTGATCAGAAGTTTCTAGAAGGGTGGAAAGCAGATTGAAAGGAGAACAGCGTTCTCTTCATGTGTGTGGCCGTGTCATGCTGTGCCCGTGAGTGCCACCAAAGGTCATCTCGGGTGGCATTTATGCCTCTTGTACCAAGGTGAACTCCCTTTCAGCTTCTGCTTTGTGCAGGTGGGGAACTGGGGCTCAGGTGGGGACTGTGGCCTGTCCAGGGACACGTCCAGCAGGACAGCAGACTGGGCCAGAAAGGAGACAACAAGCTCAGGTAAACCAGACAGTGTATTATGTATATAGACAGCAAGGGCAAGGTCAGCATGGTGTCAGCCTCCTGTGTCCTTTGTCCCATAGGATGGCACCGAAACAGCAGGGACCATCTGACAGCAAAAAGGCTGGGCCCCCTGCTGCTGAGGGGGCGGGGGCACCATATGCTTCAGCTGTCACCTGCGCCGCACCCTCCAGGGTGGCGAGGAGGTCAGCCCCATTCTCCCGGGAAGCAGGGAGGCGGCCGAGCCCCGCCCCATGGAAGGGAGAGGCGTGAGACCTGGCACAGGGCAGCTCCTCGCAAGGCTGCCCATCTTCCCATGTTCCCGGAGGATCCCGTGGAATCCCTTCAAGGCTCACGTTAGTCTGGGGTCAAGCCTTGCCCGCATGGCCTAGAGGGACACAGGCAAGGCTGTCAGGCAGCTGCACGCAGCAGTTCCTTCCCAGTGGAACACCCAGCGAGTCAGTGGGCTGCTGGGTCTGAACTTGGTTTCTGCCTCTGGGTGCAATTGACAGTCAGAGCTGGATAACTCCCTGTTTGGATGGGGGCCGTCCTGTGCTTCGAAGGAGGCTTAGCAATATCTCTGGCCTCTATCCACTAAGTGCCATTTGCAAACACCCGCTGCTCTCTCCTCCCAGTATCTGGATGAAAAATGTCTGCAGACTTTGTCGAAAGCCTCGCGTGGGGGGCAGAGTCACCCCTGCATGATAACCGTTGGTCTAGAACTCTGCGCGAGGGGTCTCATCTCTTGTGTCCTATGCTCTCCGCCCTCTGTCCGCAGGTGGGTGGGCTTTGAGCACGCTGGCTTCCAAGGGCAGCAGTACGTGCTGGAACGGGGCGAGTATCCATGCTGGGACGCCTGGAGCGGCAACACGGCCTACCCTGCCCAGCGGCTCACCTCCTTCCGGCCTGTGGCCTGCGCCGTGAGTCCTGTGGCCGCCTCCTCCCAGGGAGGCTTGAGCCCTCCTGTAGGGGCTTGGGAACTGGATGTCCCCGAGTCCAGTTTCTCATGTCACTTCTTCAAGCTGTGGGACATGGCAGTCCCTCCCCTCTCTGAGACTCATTTTTCTTTTTAATCATGAAATGAGGCCCTAGTACTCACACTGTGGGAAAGAAGAATGTTGAGCATCTGGGCAGACCCACCGCAAACATTCCACCCATCACCACTTCATTTACAAGGGGAGCAGAGTTAAGATTGGAAGGAGACACATGAATGCTGTGCGCCCCCTTTTTATGACTCAGGGGTGGGGGAGGAGCTGGGTGCTGGAGATGGCAGGGTGAGGTCGGGGGCAGGGATCTAGTTCCCGCTCCTGATTCATGACTGGTGTTCCCAATTTTATATTCGAGCTGCTGCTTATGGACTGTGGGTGGAGGCGGGCATTATTATTCCCATCTTAGAGATGAAGAAAAAACATCGAGGCTCTGAGAGGTGTATTATCTCTTCAACAACAACTTTTATTGATTTAAAATCCCATAAGGCATACATATTTATCATCTAAAATTCAGGAAAAACCCTGACATGGCAGAATAAGAAAATAAAAATCACTCATGCCCACACCTCTGAGATAGCAGCCCACTGTTTATAGGGCCAGAGATTTCAGTATCTATAGCTAGATCACATAGCTATACACACATATCATTTTGTTATAAGATTAAATCATAACAAGCCAAAGGCCTGGAAACCAGCGTTTCTCTGTGGGCAAATTTATCACAACGACCCTCCTGGGAGATTAAGTCTAATTTGTAACGCCCTCACATTTATCAGAATTCCACTCTGTGAGCAGGGTCATTTGTTCATCCATTCCACAAGCGGCCCAGGTCTCGTGCCGACACGGGACCCACGGTGGGCCCTGGCAGAGGCAAACCCGCTTCCCTTAGTCCTCAGAAACAGCCCTGAAAATTGGGCGTGGCAGGTTCCAGTCCAGAGACTCGCAGACAGACTCAGAGGTGCTGCGTGACATGTGTAAGCTCAGCCAGCCGGTAAATGGAGAGCAGGATTGGAACCCAGACCTCTGCACCCTTCTCTAATGACAGCACACTAGGCCAGCTTACCTCCTCATTCCAGTTGTTGCAGAGTCTCAAGTTGAATTCTTTCCTCCCTTCCCCTCCCCTCCCCTCTTTTCTTTTTTTCTTTGCCTCTTATAAGGTTTCTGGTGCCTGTTGTCTTACTGCCCTTTCAAAAGGATTGCAGGGAAGATTGATTTGGAAGACAAGGGTGGGGCAGGGGTGGGCAGCAGCGGACTTCCCGCTGTGCGCCTGACAGTCTGCCCCTGTTCTCCGTGCCTGCAGAACCACCGTGACTCAAGGCTGACCATCTTCGAGCAAGAGAACTTCCTGGGCAGGAAAGGAGAGCTGAGTGATGACTACCCCTCCCTACAGGCCATGGGATGGGATGGCAGTGAAGTGGGCTCCTTCCACGTCCAATCCGGGGCGTAAGTGCATCCAGAGCTCTGTCTGGCAGAGAAAGAGAAGATGTTGGGAGGGTTAGGGACACCTCCTGTGGCAATAATGTGCTGGTGACTTTTGGGCTCTGATGCTCACATTCCAGAGAGGACACTGAAACATAGGGAGATATCAGGCAGAATTCCTGGGATTGCAAGCAATGGACACCCAGAGCAAACTGATATTAAGCTTAAAAGATATTTACTGGCCCCTGCAATTAGCTTCGGGTATAGCTGGATCCAGGTGCTTCAGCAAGGTTCTATTATTCTCCCCCTCCTGCCCTGCTTGCCAGTGTGGTTATATCCTTAGGCAGGCTCTTACCATATGAAGGCAACATGGCAGCTCCATCCTCTCCTTTCAGCTACCCTGAGGGTAGGAGTTTCTTTCACAATGATCCCACCAAAGGTTCCAGGAAAGGCTCTTATTGGTCCAACTTCAGTCATGTGTTCAACTCAGAACCAATCACCATTTCCACCATCACTGGGTGCTCTGATTGGCTAGGCCTGGTCGCATGCTTGTTGCTAGAGTGAGTACTTTCCTACACTGGCTGAGAAGGGGAGGGGGGACAGGCTCTAGCACCAGAGAGCAGTGGATGCACAGCCAGCCACAACCCAGAGGTGGGCAAGCAACTTGCTCCAAGTCCACCAGCAAGGAGTTGACTGAATCCAGCTTCGAGCCCAGAAACGACTGCCCCTTCCTACCATTTTTACATAGGAGATGGCAGGTAAAGTCTGACATGTGAAGTCCTCAGCTGGGAAGGACATTGGAGCCGCCTGCTGAGGTGCCCTTTGGCTCCTGGTAGGCAGGGTGAAGGTGGGAGATAGGTGAGGTAGGGTTTTTATTTTTTAATTTTTTCAGACATCACCGGAGAATTACATTGTTTCAGAGTAGGGCGGGCCTCTTGTGATTCCTGAGTTAACTCAGAAAAATAGCAGAGAGTCCAGTCCTAGACAACACAGGCGTCAGTGAGTGGAAAGAATGGGCCTTTTCTTGGAAGTGCCTCTGGGTGAGGAAGGAGGGAGACAGAATGACTCCCCATCCATCTGTCCGTCCATCCATCCATTCATCCATCCATCCAGCTTTTACTGAGCCCTGCCCGATGCCAGGCACTGTGTTAGGCGCTTGAGAGGACAATGAACCAGGTACACGCACTCCTATCCCCAGGCGCTTACTGTATGTTGAGGCGGGGGACATTTTACAAGTAATCTCTTAATTACCTCATCACCTGAGTGCTCCAAAGCTACAATAAGGGACTGTGCCCTGATTTGGAGAACAGCATAGACCACCCTGGTGGAGTGATGATGGAGCTGAGACCTGAAGGATAAATACCACTTGTCAGGGCAAAGAATGGCTGGAATGGTGTTCCTGGGACAGGGAATAGCATGATGAAAGTCACAGTGGTAGAAAGCGCAGGGTACCTTTCTGGGCCCTGAAGGCCATGATGGCTGGAATGGATCTGCAGGATGGGTCTCTTTGTCCCTGTCCCAACCTCCACGCTGGTGCCTCTCTAGGGTAACAATATGCCTCTCCCCTCCCCCAGGTGGGTGTGTTCCCAGTTCCCGGGCTACAGAGGCTTTCAGTACGTGCTGGAGTGTGATCACCACTCGGGCGACTACAAGCATTTCCGGGAGTGGGGCACTCACGCCCAGACCTTCCAGGTGCAGAGTGTCCGCAGGATCCAGCAGTGACCAGGAGGGCGGCGCCGGCCGTGAGCCCGCACTTGTCTGCAACGGACGTGCCCCCTCCCCCTGCAAGTCCACGTTGACCCGGCACCCACGTGAGCCAGTCCACGCGTGCGTGGTCAGCGCAAAAACCTGAAAATAATAGAAAAGTAATAAAGGTCCAGTGTTAGCTTGTGTGCTGTAGTTTTATCCATCCTTCTCCAGAACCAGTTTTTAGCTTTGTTAAGTTCCTCTACCGTTGCTCTGTGTTATATTTCACTGAGGTTTGCCGTTTAGTACTTTTTTTCCTTCTATTTGCTCCAGGTTTACTTTGCTTTTCATTTTTCTAGCTTTTCAAGGTAGACTCAAACCACTAAGTCTAGTCCCCTTTCTCCACCCTCGCCCCGAACAGTCATTTAGAGCTATAAATTACGAGCACCGCATTAGCTGCTTCCACAAATTATAATTCGATGTGTGTTTTCATTAGCATTCAGTACATGTGCTACAGAAGTGAGCACTATTATCTCTCAATTTGACATTTTCTATTTTCCCTTGTGGTTTTTTTCTTTGACCCATAGGTTAAAAGTGTGTTACCTAAATACTTGGGATTTTTTTTTTAGATAATTTATTGTTATTCATTTGTTATATTAATCCATTGCGATCAGAGAACAGACTCAAGATTTCAATAACCTGGAGCGAGTTGAGACTTATTTTATGTTCCCGTATGTGGTCTATTTTTGGTAGATTTGAAAGTTATTTACATTCTGCAGTTACTGGGTATAGTGTTCTGTAAATGCTGATTGGGTTAATCCGGTTGACTGTTGAGTTAGATATTTCTGTATTGTCACTGATTTTTTAAATCAATTCCTGAGAGAGGGCTGTTAATAATCTCCTACTCCCTTCAGTTTTGCCCATTTTTCTTCCAGATTTTTTTTCTTTAAGAATTTGATGTTGTTATTTGATGCACATATATTTATGATTGCTGTTTTCCAAATATTGTTCCTGGCTAGCATTATTTATTGACTTATTTATTTAAATTTTTATTGACTTTTTTGTAATTTACTTATTTAATTGTTGTTTAAGTACAGTTTTCTGTCTTTTACTCCCATCCCAGCCCCCCCCCCCGCCAGCTAGCATTTTTTAAAGCCATGCATAGAGAGAGCCTGTTCTGTCCTTTAGCAAAATTTTTATTTCTTTTCTCCCCTATTCTCTCTCACACACAGCACCCTGGAGTCTCTCACTTAACATCCTCCACCCTCCAAAGAAAGTCTTCGAAACCAAGAAATACATATCCGTACCACCTGCAGCCGGAGTGGGGAGATCATATTCATTCTCTCTCTCTCTCCTCTACTCCTTGGCCCTCTCCTGCTCCTGTATTCTATAGATTATCTTTAACAGTCATAAGCCATTTGGCTCTTTTTCTGCACTACCTTCCTCTGCCGTAAATGAGCTGTAGAGACAGGAAGGGGTGGTGGTCTGAATGACATGCTGGACAAGACACCACTATCTGGCTCAGGAAAGGGAGGCCCATGTTTAGGAACATTTGCACTTCATTTTTAACCCCTCATTGTACCTTTCCATTTATTCAAACGATCATCTGCCTGGGATCTACTGGGCACCAGGGCGGGGAAATGGTAAGCAAGACACAGAAAGTCCTTCCTCTCACCTGGCTGGACGGGGAAGGCAGACAGGTGTGCAGTGGACTGCAATGTCCTGGGGTAGAAGCTGTGGTGGGGGGAGTGTGGGGGCTGCAGGGCTGCAGGAGGTAAGAACAGGCCTGGGACAGGAGGTGGGAGAGGCAGGGAGGCTGGTCCTTCTTGGTGCTCATCTCACTGCAGACCTCTGCTCTGACCTCCTGTGGGGAGGGGGTTGGGGGACTGGATAAAATAAGGTGAAGGGAATAACCAAAAAATGTATATGCATAACACACAGACACGGACAACAGTGTGGTGGTAGCCAGAGGGAAGTGGGGGCTGGGGGACAGGTGGTGGGAGTAGGGAAAGGGGGGAATGGGGCTGGAAAGAGACTTTCCTTGGGGCAGTGGGCCCACAATGCAGTGGGTGGATGATGTTTCATTGAGTTTCACACTTGAAACCTGCATGGTGTTGAGAACCAATGGCACCGCAATGAATGCAACAGAAAGTAAATAAGATCTGCTTTTAAAAAGAAAAAATATAAAGAGTTAAGAAAGTAACCCCTCACACTTTAGTATAAATGACTGGGGAGTGTCTCATCTATGATAAGAAAGCCTTAGCTCTTTGGAAACAAAACAGATAATATTTTCTGAATGAATGAATGAATGAATGAATGAATGAATGAATGAGGGAGCCTCATTGGATTTTGCTGATGGCCCTATTAAGGGCCAGTTGCGGTCAGAGCCAAGAGTGAGGCCAGTGACCATGACAAATGGCACCCTAGATGTGTGATGATGGCTGGAGTGACAGGCAATGAAGAGACGATTTGTCAGGGGCGATTTTGGGAGGGGAGGAAGGAGAGCATGAAATTATTTTTCATATCTTGCCAGGAGACCAATTTTTCTAGGTTATAAAGGAGAGGGAGCTTGAATTATTGATGGTATTTGTTCAGAAGTAAGTGGTAAGTACAGAACACCCATCATTCAGAACACAGCACTCAGCCAAGAGGACTGATCACAGGGTCTGGGCCTGTGAGTCCCAAACCAGCGTGCTCTTGGCCCAGAGTGGGGAAGGCACTTGCTCGGGACCACACAGCAGACGTGATCCCTATAGCTGCCTCCTCCAACCTCATCACCCAGCTACTCACACCTGGAGTGGGCAGCATGGCCCAGAACGTCACGGCCATTGGAGGTGGATACACCTCGGTCTGAACATAGGATCCCAAGTTTTCTGGATAGGGTGAGCTTCCGGGGCACTGTGCCTCAGTTTCCTCACCTCTTCAAGGTGGGGCCATGATGAGGGTCAAGGAAAGAGATACCTAAAAAGGTGCTGTGACAGATAAGATGCGACCCCATGTGAGGCTTTCTCTTCTTCACTCAATCCCTCCGTGGTCCCTCCACCTGGTCCGTCCAGCTCTTCCTCTTGCCCACGTGCTCCTCTCACTACTGCCCCACTGAGTCCCCTCCCCCACTCCCACCCGGAGCAAAGCGGCAGTGACAATGATGGTGGTGGATACGGCCAAATAAAAGGAAAGAGCCCAGGCTGGTGTAGCTCAGTGGATTGAGCAGGGGCCTGTGAAGCAAAGGGTCGCAGGTTCAATTCCCAGTCAGGGCACATGCCTGGGTTGTGGGCTGGATCCCCAGTAGGGGACACATGAGAGGCAACCACACATTGATGTTCTCTTTCACTCTTTCTCCTTCAAGTCCCTTCTCTCTACAATAAAAAAAAAAAAGTAAAGAAACCACCTAGAATAAAAGGGGATGAGAAGGTGAAGATGCCTCATCTTGGGTGTGTTTATGGGAGGGAGGGAGGGAGGGAAGGGACAGTGGAGAGAAGAGTAGGGCAGAGAGGGAGAGAGAGAATGTCTTTTCTGCACACCCTTGGAGAAGTGGCCACATGGACCGCCTACACTAACAAGTGGCACTGCGATGACTCCCATACTCACAGCTCATCGCCACAGCCCTTTGCAGAAAGGAGGGAGGAACAGCATCCACGGAGTGTCCACTCTGCGTTGGGCACGGGGCCAGGCACTCACCCCCACATCCATTCGGTCGGAGCCTTCCTCGCTGCTGCCTACCAGGGATGTGGGCCAGGGAGGTGCCCACCTGGAGGGGAAGGGGGGTGGGTGGGGCGGAGGCTGAGCCTCGCACACACCTGAGCTGTGGCTGGTGAGTGCCCCCCCATCCCTACCAGCTGGAGCCTCTGTTTACAGTAGGCATCATCACAGGGTGAATGGAGGGGAAATATCTCGCCCCAGGTGGGGAGGCCCTGTCTTTCCCCACCAGGTGCTCCTGAATCCTCTCAACAGACAGGTGGTGGAGGCAGGCCTGGGGGGCGTGGCAGCTTCCTCCTAGGGGGCGCGGTCTGCGGTTCTCACCTTCTGCGGAGCTTCAGCAAGCAGCGTCTGGGAGGAGTCCCAGTTTCACTTTAAAGAACCCCACCCTCCACAGTCCGAGTTAATGCATCCGAAGGGTTGATTTGCCCTGATTCCAAAGGCGAGGATAGAACCCAGGTCTGGCCGGTAATAGTCACCACGACTGAGCCAGGGATGGGCACCTGACCCAATTTAAGCCAATGAGAGTCCACTCTGGAGTCTTGCTTGCCACCTTCTAGAGAAAGAAGCCCTCTATGAGCTGGGCTTGTGGAGCGATAGGGTATAAGCTCGGAACTTGCCACCAAAGGCAGCCTGGAAACAAAATCAGTGTAGGGGAAGGCAGCGGCCAGAACTTGGGGTGGGGGGGTGAGTCTGACCATCTTTTTGTCACATGGGCCAAAAATAACCTCTTCCCACTTTGTTTTGGATTAAGTCCTTTTAAGATAAATTTTGTTCATTTATATTTTTAAAAGTCCTGACTCCCCTAAGCCCACCAAGGAAACAAAGAGCTTACCACTTCCCCTCCTGTCCCAACTAGGGTCCCAACTTCTCCCTGACATCTCAGAAGCTCCCAGTCCTTTACCCTCTGACTGTTCTTGGCTTTAGTGAGCAAGATCGTCTCTGGCCCTGTCTCAGTTTCCTCTTCCTCCAAGGGGGCATATTCACCCCTTGCTCACATGAGAAGACTGAGGCCAGGAGAGGCAACTCGATGCGCTCGGGTTGGCTCAGAGACGCCAGGACTCCTGCATCTCTGTGCAGGGTTCTCCCTTCCAGGCCCCTTCATGCCCAGAATGTGACTGATTTCCTTGCTGTGGTTCAATCAAAAGCGTGGCACCACCTCCCTGAGGTTCCTCAGGCCGGTCCTGGCCCCTCCCACCACTGCAGGCCGCTCACTTGCAGAGGTCGCCTCCCATGATAAAAAAACCTACTCCGGAGACTTGCGCCGCACTGCCACCTAGTGGTGACACAGAAATACACCCTCCAAAGTGCTGTCAGGAAATTGTTCTGTCCTGGGGCCCTGGGAAAGGAAAGGGGCGGGGGAAGAAAGGCTTCAGTGGGCCAGTTTCTGTGGAATTAGAGCTATGATATACGATGAGAGGCCCTGAGATTCCTTCTCTGTTCTTAATTCTCACCACAGCTGAGTGTTTGCGCATCTAACTTCTTTTTTCCGTGTAGACCTTGGAAAT